ATCCAGGACACCAATCCGCATGAGTCAGTGAACTGACCATGTGCTGGACCCGCCGCCTTTCGGTTGTACATTTAATCGAAGGCTTTGGCTGAGGACCCGAGTCGTTCTCCTGTCAGGTGTGGGCGCCCTGCCAGTATCCTAGTCCATCCACTTCGGAGGTTAGGAAGTGGTCGATGACTCTCTCCCTGAAAAACCTAGCCATGGGAGACAACAGGTAAAGGGGTTATAAGCTCGCTCCTCGATTGGCGTAGAGCACGAGCGTCACGCATTGTCTCTGGCAGTGGGAAGGCACCTTCGAGTGTTCAATGGTTTGCAACCGCCCGCAAGCAAGGCATCCCCTCGTCAAATTGGTGCAAACCTGCCAAAACCCATCTGCGTTTGGCCGTGGCCGCAGGTGCGTATCCTACTAAGGTCGCAAAACATATATGAATCGTTCCAGTACCTCAAAGGCTGCGTGTGACGGCCGGCAAACAGATCCCAATCTGTCTCTGCAATTACATTCCCGAGCTGGATCTGCTCCCCACTGCTTTGTGGGTCAGGCTATTGAGCCAAAGGCTCCGGGCGGAGTCCCTCAAGCAAACCTCCAAATACTCCACTACCTTGTGGGTCAGGCTATTGAGCCAAAGGCTCCGAGCGGAGTCCCTCAAGCAAACCTCCAAATCACCCACTGCGTTGTGGGTTAGGACATTGAGCAAAAGGCTCTGGGTGGAGTCCCTGAAGCAAACTTCCAAAGCACAACCGTCACCTCGCGTGCGATTGCACACCAACACAATCGTATGTCTGCGGGCAAGGCACTCAGCATCGAGTGCTGGAACGTGTGCGTGTGTGTGTGAACTCGAATGAGCGCCCCGAGCGACACACTGCACTGGTCGCGATGAAAATGGCGCGTTATCATATCGATATTGCGGCACACAGTGAGACTCGGCTCGCTGAGCAAGGCAAATTGCATGAAGTAGGTGCTAGCTACACGTTCCACTGGGTGGGAAACGCCACCTCAGTACCACGTGATCATGGGGTCGGATTTGCAACATCCGAGCGCCTCCATGGGCAGCTTGTAGGTGAACCAACAGGGATCAGCGCGCGACTGATGACTGTTCGCCTACGACTCGGAAGAGGTACGTTTGCCACTTTTATAAACAGGTACGGTCCATCCACGTCTTATCCTGATGACACGCATGATCATCCTCCGTGATAAGCTCTGTGCCGAGGAGAGACCGATTATTTCTGCTGGATGATTTCAACGCAAGCGTTGGGCGTGATGCATCGGTGTGGACAGATGTCTTCAGTCCGCATAGTATTGCTTCAGTTAATGGGAACGGTGACAGACTGCTCTCACTGCGTACAACTCACGACTGACGACCACAAACAATCGGTTTGCACTGAGTGCGAGTGACACAGAAATATGGATGCACCCACGGAGAGGTCACGCTCACCTGCTCGATTATGTCAGCGTACATCGGCGTGACATGAGGGGTGGGCGCATGACACGCGTACTGCGTGGAGCTGAGTGTGGAACCGACCACAAATTGGTGCAAACCAAACTGTACATATATTTTCGTAAATCTATGGGTTGAACTCCCGCCGTGAATCGGCGTAAATCCAACATTCTCTCCCTGGGTAATGTGGAAAAAGGATGCAGCTGGAGAAGGCGATGGCTGCACGCCTGTGTGATGTGAAATACATAGCCACAGTCGGCGACCTGTGGCACCATATTCGCGACCAGGTGACAGCTGCTGCCCTGGAGACCATCAGGCGCACAAACTGTAAGCGACCTAACTGATTTGATGAGAAAAATGCGACGATTACTGCATTGGTATCAGTAAAGAATGCAACGTTTGCTGCACGTCGCAGACCCAGGTGACTTGGGGTAGAAGAGTCAGTTTCACAAAATTCAACGACGGCTGACTCAAGAGCTCTGTCGCATAAAATATGCATGGTGGACGGAGAAGGCGAAGCAGATGGAATCTTATGCCGAACGCCGCCAACACAAGGAATTCTTTGACCCCTTGAACGCAATGTATGCACCGAGATTGGAGCCGCTGAGGAGGCTGATCGGTAGTAGCTCAGGCGCTACCTGCACACATAATGCAGGTTTGGCAAAAACACCTTGACTGTCTCTTGAACAACCGTTCAGAGATCGACTGGCCTACGTTGAATCGCCTGAAACAGCACGATGTAAGGCGGATCTGGCGGACACGCCGACGCTGGATGAAAGGTAGGGAGCACTTGCTCAACAGCGAAATGGCAAGTGTGCCTGTGCCGACGGTATCCCGCCTGAAGTATTTAAACACTGCGGACCCGCGTTGGTGACTGCGCTGCATCACTTGATGCAAAGCTTGTGTATTGAGAAGGAGGTGACTTCTGAAATGAAGGATGCCCTTGTGCTACCACTATACAACGGCAAAGGAAGCAAGAAATTGTACGAATTATCGTGTGGGCAAGGTGATTGCCCGAATCCTGCTCAACCGCCTCGTCAGTCAGGTTGTGGAACCGAACGTGGCAGAAGAGCAGTGCGGACTCCGTTCGGGTTGCAGCATTATAGGTAGGGTATTAGTGGGTCGTCAGTTGCAGGAGAGGTGCAGAGAACGACACCAGCCGTTGTACTCGCTTTCTGTTTATTTCACCAAGGCATTTTATACAGCGAACCGCGAGGCATTGTGGCTGGTGTTGGGTAACTTTGGTTGTCCGCGAAAGTTTGTTTAATTGAATGTCTGCACAGTGGTATGCGAGCGAGGGTGCAGCTGAGTGGAGAGACCTCGGATAACTTTGCAGTTATCTCTGGTGTGAAATAAGACTGTACCTTAGCTTTTGCCCTGTTTAATATTTATCTACATGCAATGATGTCTTAAGCTTTTGCTGCTGATTTTGCGTACAGTGTTCATGTGGAGCACTATATTGATGTTGGGTTGACGAACATCCGTCGTTTCGGTGCGAGAACCCTAGTCTGTGAGACAACTATTAGTATGTTGTAGATGTTTGTGAGTAGGGTAAAGTTTTGTAGAAAGTAGAAGTCACGACTAAAACTCACACACAATAATGTGCCTCGACGGGGGGTCGAACCCAGGCCCAACGAATTTCCGGTCCGCTGCTCTACCACTGAGCTATCGAGGGCTGACGATTAGGTGCGCAAGTTTTAATACATGACTTCTGCTTGTTGCGCGGCGTATTAGTATGTTGCTAGTTGCTGACGACTGTGCATTGTTTGCACACAGTGCAGCACATGACTGCTGCTCTGGATTCGACAGTGGCCAAATTCGCCCTCACCATCAACAAAAGCTAAAATGTCTGTCTCTTTCAGCCTTCATCGGAGATGCAATCTTAAATATTGACGCGAATCAGCATTGGTGCTGAAGTATTGAAAACCACCTCCCGCTTCCGCTACCTTGGGAGTGTGATGTCGACTGATCACCAGATACACAGTGAGCTTCGTGTCCGCGTGTCGAAGACAGCGGCGGCATTCGGGAAGCAAGAATACCGAGTGTGAAACAACCATTAACTTACCGTTGGCACGAAGCTGATGGTGTACAAATCCATGGTGCTGTCCGTTCTTTCATACGGTAGCGAAGCGTGGACGAGATACCGGCGAGATGTGAGATATCTCGAGCGGTTCCATCAGCAGTGCTTGCGACGGATTATGTGCATTGGTTGGGTCGACAGAGTTGCTGACACGGAAGTGTTACGACAAAGTCGAATGTATACAGTGGACTGCATATTTATGCTGAGACACCTGAGGTGGCTCGGTCATGTGAGCTGTATGGATTAGACGCAGATACCGAAACAACTATTATATGGCCAGCTGAGTATTGGGAAGCGGCATGTGGGGAACGGCTACATTACCAGGGCATGATCAAAGTGAGCCTCCCACATTCTAATCTTGATTGCAGGACATGGGAATGGAAAGCGGTTGATCGGTGTGCATGGCGCGATCCGATCACGAAGTCCGTTGCCGAGTTGTAAGAGAAAGCCCGCGTGCATGCAGAGAAGCGGCAATTGCGGAAGCGGTAAGAAACGATGGGTTGTACTCCATCGACATCGAGCGCATGGCGCTGTAGCATAGGCGGTCGCGAGTGACTGAGTCAGGCAGACCTAGTGAGCTTTGAACGAGGCCACACGGGGCCACCACTGAAGCGACGAGTCCTGCATTCAAGTTACTAACCGCGTGCTTGCATCCTAAGTCTCTTTATTTCAGGTGGTGGGTTTGCTATATTGTCCTCATGTTTTTTTTCTCATACTAATGTTTACCTGAACTATCTTCTATAAACTTGCACACGTCGCTTAAGCCAACTATAGTTAACTTCGATAACATCTCAGCTGTTGTGGCATTTGCTTAAAATACATTTTTTACGTACAGAACCTTTCGCGGAATTTTTGCAACCGATTTATTGAAGAGTTATGCCACCGCATCTGTATGCATTATTCGATTTATCTTATTTGTTATCATCGTTTGGCTGTTGCTTGATATCCCCAATGTGGCTGCCCTTGATGTGCATGTTGACAAGATGCCTACCTGTCTATTACCCACTACCTCGTCCATACTGGCCCTAGGAGACAGTTGGTCGTTGCTGGAGGGGACGGGGTGCACGGTCCTTGTGGCCGTGTTAGGCTCGAAGAGTGATTCCGTGCACTCAGTGTGGAACGGACTACGGTCCAGCCACCGCCATGTGTGCGCTTGATTCCCCAAATACAGCGTGCTTGTGTTTGTCTGTGAAGGAGTGTGGGCCGGCTCCGTTGATGAAACGTGGCTCCCATCCACACGCCTCCCGGTTTTATTCCTTCGGATTTACACTGGATTTGGGGTGTATGGATGGAGCTGTGGGTGGTGCAGCGCAATCCACCCATGGTCCCCCTGTAGGCGCAGGCATCCTGTGTCTGGCAACAGTGCCAGGTAAATCCAAAACCGGATGTCGCCAACCACATATTCGGTGGGACTACCGCCTGGAATGAAGTCGGTGTGGAGATAGTGAACGAAAGGATACACATCCAGGTGGAGAACACTGGGTGCAATGAATCAAACCTTGTATTGGAACAAGTAGTTAAGCAGTATCGTGACACACGTGATCGGGGGAAGAAAAAGTGCAACAATGAAGGCACTGAGTGCACTGAGAGTTCTATTTGTCACCACCCCATGACGCCATTTTGTTGTTCATGGGCCACTTCAAAAACCGGGGTGATTGCATGTAGGCAGCGATCTGAGGTAAAGCCTGGGAAGTGTGAACAAAGGAGAGCAAGGTAGATGAACAGAAAAAGACAAGGTTGAGAAGTGAACTATAGGAACGAATTTGATTTGACACAAAATTATAGTGCCTTGAATGACTAGTTACTGGATAGTAGTAGCGCAGGTGTCTTACAGTCTAGCCTAGATAAGACACAGAACGTAGCCGAGTCAGCATAAAAACAGTATACTATGCCAGGTTGGTAGCACGCTCACTATATACCGTCCAGTCTCCGTTGCCCGAGGGGATGAAGCGTGGCTCTCGCAACTCAGACGTCACCGAAGTGAAGGGTCTCGGTGTGGCTCTCTCCTATCCCTGCACTCCACGACCGACGGTTTCGTCTTGGTTTAGACTCATCAGGTAGAGATAGCTGAGCTAGGAGTGGAACTCGGGGCATAGTGCTTGGCGGCTAACGCCATGATCACTAGGCCATTGAGTTCCGCGATCAGTGTTTGACACAGCGGTTAGAAGTAGATATTCGGGTATTTTGGAGCACCCGCCGTGTGTCTTGGGTTGCGACACGCAATCTCACTAGTGGCGGAGGTTGACTTTGAAGTCAGCCTCTGCCAATACTGTCACTGGGACCGTCACCGAAGTGGAGGGTTTCGGTGTGGCTCTCTCCTATCCCTGCACTCTACGACCGACGGTTTCGTCTTTGTTTAGACTCATCAGGTAGAGATAGCTGAGCTAGGAGTGGAACTCGGGGCATAGTGCTTGGCGGCTAACGCCATGATCACTAGGCCATTGAGTTCCGCGAGCAGTGTTTGACACAGCGGTTAGAAGTAGATATTCGGGTATTTTGGAGCACCCGCCGTGTGTCTTGGATCGCGACAAGCAATCTCACTAGTGGCGGCGGTTGACTTTGAAGTCAGCCTCTACCCGAAATTCAGACGTCACCGGTTCTATCCGAATTTGTGTAGGCGCGGAAGAACTTACCGAATTCGTAGTCTACGTGCGACTAGTGATGGTCACGTGACAATGAAGCGCCGATACAATGTACATGAGATGCCTCTTTCATTGCCACACAGCGAAGTAAGCAATAAGGTCAGTTCATTCTGTGGGTTGGTGAACGATAGTCAACCACTGACGCGTACATGCGAGAAAACCCGATGGGCAGTGGTGTGAACCAATCGATCAGTCGTGGTGTGGTGGACACAGAAAGTTATTTGGCTAGCTAATTCCATGTCGTGGGATCGAATCCCCGCTCCCGTATGGGTTTGGGCGTCTCTGCGGTATTCCAACCTGAGTACAGCTGCTCGTAGTTGTTGCATGGGAGCGGACCATCATTGTGGTGCTGATGCGTTTCCAAGGTTATAATCAACTAACGAAGCGGACCTCGAGATTTACGAAAGAAGCATATATAGTAGGCTACTGTGGAGACAAAGAAAATGTTTACTTGTCTTAACGCGGAATTGCAATGTCCGCAATATCGGCATCCAACTCTCCACGGATACCAATTTGGCCAAGCCGACGACATCCGGTTCCGTGGAACATAGCACCCCTAGAGTAGTGGTCACCGGTACACCAAACAGTACAACCGAATATCATAGACACCTGGGATCTAGGGTACCGGATACAATTTTGGGCTCAAAATAATCGATGACCGTGAGTTTCCGCGCGGTGGCCTGTATGCTAGCGAAAAATGCGCCTCGTACTGTGAAATACACTAGTGGTTGTAGGCGACAGAGAGGACGATAGTCAAGATGCGAGACGCGGGTGGATGAACCGAAATGGCGCCGCGGACCGTTTGCCTGACGACATGATTTCTATGACTCACAGACAAAACCAATCATGCAGTGGCACGAATAGGTGCATGGCCAACAGAGTCGAAGCCCAGAAGAGATTCAGTAACGTAGCGAATCCTGTCGCCTATCGTTTATGGGAGGAGAGCATTAATTCGTCACAAATTTGCTGTGCGCGGACTGTTTAAGGCTTACCTCGAACTTGGTAATGTATTGCTGCAGCCTTGGGAACGCGTTCAAACAGTTTGGTTCCAACGTCTTCAGACAGTCAAGTAAGTCATAGAAGTTGAAATCTGGATAGCTCAGCTGAAAGTGGGGAAGCGAACAATATAATAACAATGAGCTCAATGGAAAGCCACTCATTAAGTGTATGCACGTGTCCATGAAGTGTAGGTAAATAGCAAAGATCAACTGGATTCTGCAAAATCGGTTAGACACTTAGACACGTGCCGGATTGGATACATAATGTCGTCAGCATAGATGAGGACGTAATCAGTGCTTGACTTCAATAAGGCAAAGGAATAGGGATAAAGATGTTATAAGGAAACATGTTTGATCTAAATTATAGCGCCATGCAAATCGAGAACGTAGCGTACCGAGCAAACCATGGGATGGTATAGAACAATAAACGGGTGATTATCAAAATTGAAATGTAAACAGGGTTGTAATCAACCGTGAAAAATCAAAAGAGAGCTTAATGCAGAATCGAAACGACAAAAATGTAGAAAACCAACAACGGAACCGACCTGATCGCCCGAAATCCAGCTTCTCGTCTTTAGGTATTCATCGAACGGCTTCAGAAGGTGCGGCAAATCTGATACAAACCCGGGCCTCAGCTTCTCCTGTGAAGAGATGCGGAAAATAAAAGAGGGAATTTGTCTAAAATGGTGTAAAAATTGAAGTCGCACCTTAACGACGGTGACCAAGTTGACTCTGCCGTGGACATGCCCAGACGCCACACATCGTCTCGACGTCAAAATACGGAAAATGAGTACAACCATGAGGGCAGTCGATGGAATGTTTGTGTAACAACGGATTCATAAGGCAGAAACAATCACCACAGGTCTACACGGGTTCAGCACGTTTATTTGCCCACAGATTAAACAATGAACAATAATTTTATACGGGTTGAGAAGCATCGCTTTACAAGCTCCGTTGGATGGTCTGCTGGGTTAGCGAACAAGGTTAATGAGAAAAGTAGTTAGCAGTTTTACTGTCAAAATAATGGAATCAGTGTTTTGATTCAGTAGCCCTGCACCCCGAGCGTTTCCATAGCTCCAATAGGCGAAAAAAAGTAAATCCAAGATATTTCCCGGGAATAGGATGGAGAGTAGCGTCAACTAACAAAACGCAAGTGGCCGAGTGTGTCATCCAAGCGACTATTAAATATGGCTACCCTGGGTAGTGAAACAACAGATTCGGGAAGAGCATTCCATGGTCGACACACGAGTGGAAAAGAAATTTCTCCGGCACGCCAGGCGACTGTACTGTTCAGATAATTTCAAGCAGAGGTCTCTAAGTTTGGTGTTACTGCTGAGTTGCAGTAAACAGCGGCACATATGTTTTGGATTGGTAAAATCAAATACGTCATAATCAAGTTGCCTCGTCGTTGGCGATACTGCTCGCTGAATACTCCCAAAGGTTTCAATGGCTGCTCGTATGGAAGGTGAAGTATTTCGATGATGTATTTAGTAGTCCGACGTTGAGTTTGGTCCAATGCAGTAAGGTCATGCTTCAAGCATGACTGCCACGCTTGGATTGTGTATTCAACATGGGAGCGAACATACGCATTCAGCGACTCTCTGAAAACAGTGGTATCTAGTTGTCCGAACGCCCGTCGTAGAGAGCCGACGTGCTGCTTACCAGTTTTCGAGGCCTTTGTGGACTACTTGGAACAACCCAAGTTATCCTGAACAGAGACGCCAAGATCGCGTTAGACGGATGATCGCTGCAGTATTTGCGTTCCTGGCTTGTAGAAATAGGTATGCTGGTGCCGTATGGAGAGTACGCTGCAATTTCCACGTTGAACTGTAACAGATTTCGGGTTGACCAACCATGTAATAAATCCAGGTCATACTGAAGAAAATTATGATCGGCATCCGCCTGAATCCGGCGTCATATCTTGATATAGCCAGCAAACAGCAGGAAATTTGAAGCAATATTCCGTGAAAGCTCATTAATACCAAAAACAACCTAGCGCTAGAAGAAGTGTGCCAAAGGTTCTGCCAGTTGTCTTGATGTTGCTCCCAGTGACTCCGAGAAAATGGTGTCGTCTCCCGGGGAGCTGTAGTTGCGTAGAGCCGTCAGCTTCCGCAAAACAGCTTCGGCAGTAAATGAGATGTGGGTGAGTCCTGGAGGAAGGGAATCAAAAATTGGAAGATGGCCTGATGGTAAGACCCTCTGAAATGTGGGTGAATATTGCGTGTGCAGCGCGTTTGCTGCTTCTATGGCTGTTCTAGGTGGACCGTCAGTCGTCCGGAAAGGAGGAATTCCCTGCCTCACCTTATGACGTCCAAGGACATACTTGACCAGCGGTTTGGGTTAACGCTGAATTTGCCTGATATGCGACTTTGTCATCTCTGAGTAGTTGAGTACAATGGTTGCGATGGGCTACGTAGTTGCCCCAATTATGTGGCATCGGTGATGATCGGTACTCTCGCAAGGCTGCGTTGCGTACAGTCATCCATTTTCTTGTTCTGCTCCTCACGAAAGAAACGGTTTTCGGCCCATTTAAAACCCTTGTCTCTGAGGCATCCGGAACCAGTTGATTGAATTTGCTGACGAATTCAAGCCAAGTGACTTCTGGATGGCGCTCAGCGAGGAGCGATCAGGTTGTGGCACTGACAAACTGGGCTAATCGGTCGAAGCGCGTATTGGTGCGCACCAACTCAGCGTTCTGGTTATGATATTCCGCATAGCAGATGAAGTCGAAACTGATGAGTGTATGACCACTGCGACCCAAAGGGCATTTTACGATCAATACACCAATCATATGTTTCTCCTTGGTGAAAACAAGATCTAGCAAAGAAGGTCTATTACCTGTTCTGAAACGAGTGGGGGTAAGGAGGTGATTATAAAGTGGAACACTGGTTATAAGCCCCTGCAGATCTGCTTTGAATGGCTCTCCAATTGTAGCAGGAGCTTGTAAACGTTGCATACCCATGATAAAAAGGTGAGTGTGCTTTCGCTTTAGGCTGCATCTTAGAGCTGTCGCAAGTTGGCAGTCCATTTCCAGTGTATAGTTTGGCGGGGCTGTATACAAAACCTATAATGCAGTTGGCTCTGCCATGTAATTTCAGGCGGTACCAAAGAGAATCGGCGGACTGTAAGTCTGAATCCCCAGTGGCCTCGCACTGTAGGTCGCTTTGGTAACATCGAATTACCCATCCTCCTTTCGTAAGCTTGTCATTTCGTATGAGTGACATGCCCGGCAACGAGACTTCAGCGGCTGTCATCCCAGTGTGCAACCAGGTCTCGGTGACACAGATAACATCGCATGGCTTCTAAAGTTGGCGATCCTTCAGTTCGGCTAACTTACTGAAAAGGCTTTGAGCATTTGTATAAAGGCAGGATAGTTTCTCGGTCTCTAGGAGCCCAAAGGAGTCAAGTGTGATAGAATGCCAACCGGTGCAAAGTCGGCCGTTACTCGTTTTTTTTGAAGTGATGATGATGACAGGTCATTCGCAAACTGATTTGGCCAAGGTAAGTCCCATTCCTCCTCTGGACATAGTGCGGAATCGCGTGACCGAGCGGTAAAGTGATGCTCCTGCGTAATCGCTAGCATGATTGCTTTTTCCGGTAGGTTTATGTCTGGTCTTCGCAGGGATTCAGAAGCTTTTAACCGAAGTTCAAATAGAAGGATTTTACGATGTTTCTGCCAACGTTCTAACACTTCCGTTACAGTCTTCTCTGAATGAACCAGGAGTTTTAGGATTCCTGGTCTGCTTCCTCTATAATTTGGTGACAGAGGTAGCCTTTTGAGCGATCGCGCTGCAACGTTGTTCAAGGAAGTGTTTCACGAAGGAAACGCCCATGTTCCAAATCGTGATTACCGGCCTCATGACTATCGGGGGAAGGAAGTTCTGGTATGCCATAAATAGAAATGATGCTTAGCTAATCCAGCTTGCAATGTCCATCTGTAATGTTTCTTTTCGATTGTCGTGTGCTCCAAGCGAACTCAGGATAGATGCGTACCTTACAAGACCCGCGTTGTAGTGCACTTGCAGAGAGTAAAAGGTTTTCTACATCAATGGCCGATTCCAGTGTTACCCTAATCATTCTGGGTTCGCCACAGTGTGCAGAGTTCGGGTGACGAGTAACTCTCACTAGGTTTGTGGGATTGGTTGTCACGTTCATTAAAACGCACAGTGAGTTCCACTGGTTTTAGTCGTCAGACAACCTATTCCCTAATGGGATGGCGGTAGATTCGGGGACATCTGTGCGCACGACAGCCAGGGTTGTTAGTATGATTATTGAAGCGTAAAACATTGGGTCCACTTCAGCCACCTGATCAAAGCGGAAAAAATGAAATAGATTGCGGTATGACAACATTTCGATTGTTCTCCTCAGTCGCATACAAAATGCAAGCAGAAACACATATACAAATAACAAATTGGCACACCAATCAAAACATCAAAATCAAGACCAAGGTAATCTAATCGATTACCTTAAGAGTTTCTGTGCACATCAACGTGCGCTATGGGATGGTCAAACACGCAGTACAAAACCAGAGATCGTCTTAGGAGCTGCGTCGAGCTCTCACGTTGGAGAAGATTTGCACATTTTGGTTGGTACCATCTGAAACAGTGTGTGCAAGGTAAACCGAATTTGACTAATCGGTTACATTGAGCGGACCTACATTCCCCTTCGACTGGAGCCCTGTTGAATTCGCATCTACTTGTTTTCTGCTACTTTGCATAGTGTTACCGCCTTACACAGTAGGCAAGTTGATGTTGCGCACCCTAGTCTGACGAGTAGATGCAAGCACTTCGTTTTTTGGCTGGACTGAAGTCAGCCAGTGAGAATATCTGCAACTCATAGTGAGGATGCAGTTCGTAGAGGCAGGTCGTAATCCATCAGGTGGACCAGTCAAAGCTAGAAGACAAGATACTGTTGAGAAGGTGCAGACCACATGATACCGAATGCCCTGGTGAGGGATTCGAAACCGGCCACATTCGACCGGATGTAACGCAACCGTGGATCGGTGTTCTTGAATTTGCTGCCCCTTAGTTGACCCCCTACTATTCAGCCAAACCATTTTATTTCTTGCTCATTATTGTTATTAGAATTATTGTTATTGTCTCGGCTGAGTCAGGAAAGCCGATAATGCCTGATAACCTTAACTATCATTTTGCAACTGCTGGCTGTGGATCTATCTGCTCGCCAGTGTTAAACACAATTGCACAGATAGCCACTGCCACCCGCTTCCTAACCCGATTCGAAACGACTGAAATATCCATGGTCGCTTACTAAGTCAGTGACTCACAGTACGGACAGGAATCAAGTTCACGACGCCAGTCGACTGACCTGAGGTGCGCGTCTTGACAGGTTTCTTGAATTGATGTCAGCCTCTAGCGTCTAAAAATGTAACTTATCAATTGCTGACTACGGGGAATCACACAATGTAGTTTTACTGAGTTTCGGGGTCTGAGTCTGACCACTGACAATCCCAAATTGCGATGGCCCCACCGAAGTCTGCCGTATTCGGCAAGCTCAATGTAGTGCACTTTCCACGCCATCAGCAGAGCGAATAAAATGCGAGGCCACAAAGGGAAAGCGAATATGCTCCTCTGCAAACAATAAGCTCATATTGGAACTGAAAGTTAGACTGTTGCCTTTGAAT